TTATGATTATTTTAATTTATAAGTTAAATAATAGCTGTGTTTTTATATGGTTAATAGGCAATGTCGTAAAAACCATTTCAAGTGGTGGTATATCGAAAAAAGTGAAAGAAATATGTGATTTCTAAAATGTCTAAGTCAAGTCTAAATTTTTCATTGGAACTAATCAAGCATGTTCACAAAGTAGAAAACGTGTATGTGAAAAATTAACTAAATTTTTTATATAGATATAACCTATAAAGCGACATAGCTAGACGGTTGTCACACCTTAAAATGTTGTCAGATTTGGCAATATACAGACAATTACAAATTGTTAGCAATAGATAAATTGTCAGTTTACACGATTGTAACAAAACCTTACAGTTTGTCAGACAATAACTTTATCTGTCAACTAAAATTTTTGTCAAACATGTTGTATGACAAAAGTTGTCAAAACCCATTTAAGCTGCATATGTTTCTCTAATTCTCAGTGTTGGCAATATTAATAATTTACCTGACAATGGTGCCATTTGTCAGATGCATAAAATTCGCACATCGGACAATAAAAATTTGTCAGACAATTATCCTACAATGATTTGGCAATGCAAACGTAATGTATTTACAATTTGTACTGACAACGTTGAAAGACAAAAATTTTAAGTTCCCACGATTATTAGACATTATCTGAACATTTTTCTAACAACATTGTAAGATCTGACAACCGTGTATACATAGCTTAATACTTATGACATGTACGTCATTGAAAATAAAAATTTTATCTAGTTTTTCTAAATCATCATTAAAAGAAAATTGATTATTAGACATCACTAAAGTAAAAAAACTAAGTGTTACTAACTAAGTAGTAACAGTTAAAGCTGCATGGCTGTCAGATCTTATAACGTTGGCAGTAAAATGTTCAGAAAATTTCTAACAATCCTGTGAACTTTTTTTGCTTTGAATCGTCAGAAAATGCATTTCTGACAATGTTGTAAGAAAAAGTTGTAAGTGGACACGCTTGTTAGACATTTTCTGAGCATTTTACTGCCAACGTTGTAAGATCTTACAACCGTATATACTAGTTAGTACTAGTATAAATTTTCGTATAAATACTTTTTCGTATTAAGTAAATATGGCACCTTAAATGTAAAAAGCTTTTTTCTGTAATTGTCACTTAAGTGTCAATTTCAAATTCTTTGCAATTTATTACACATGTTTCTATGTATGCACTCTAAATAATACGCTTTAATCTCTTTTAAGTTATACAAAACTATTTTCAAACTTAAACTAAATACATACATACATATGTATGTATGTATGTACATATTTATGTACATTTCCTTCATGATCCTATAACTATTACAAGCTGATGTTTATTTTATGTACATATTTACTTACTCAAGTGTATAATGAAGAGTGTAGACTTTATTTATAGAACTTTAAGTTTTCAACAATGTTTTGATTGCAGCTATTCTATTTGCAATTTCATCATTAATTGAAATGAATTCGGCAAATTGATAAGAAACAGAAAACTATTGTTTCGCAAAAAAATTAAATATTTTTTAAATGGCTTCCGAGATTATGTAACTACAGCTAATAGCTACACCATGACAATAAAGAATTAACTTAATTAGTATTAAAAATTTTTAATAGGTTGTATCCCTCGAATTTGAAAATAGCCATATAATCTTATTCTGCTATCAAATTCGCTGTACTTAGTGTATTTGAGAATTAAATTTTGTCATTATGTTCCATTATGTGGAAAAATCTATTTCTATTCGAAACCTTTTGTCCCACATATCGAGTAAAGTGAGGGGATTCCTGCTATACAAATGTCAAATTTCATGCCTAAAAAGTAGTTTTCGAGTAAGTTATGAAATTTAAAGACATTTTATGAAGGAGGCCTTATATATGTAAGTAAGAGCTAGGGTTAACTATGGCTCTACATATATTTATCAAGACAATGTAAAGACAATTTTCTCTAGATAAGATTTTGTTCAAATATTAAAAACATAGAATTTAAATAGCACTATTTTTGAAGATATCAAAAAAGTCATATTTTTCCCAATTTGACAATTTTTAATCGATTTTCGACACGCTATCCGATTTGACAAAAATTTTAGACACCTAATGTACTTACTTACATACGTAAATAAGTTCGATTCAATTTATATCAAGAGCAAAAAAGTATTTTTCCCTCAAAATATGACTACTCAATGTTTGGATTCTTCAAAGGAGACCTACATTTTTGCATTTTTCTATGAGTTCTTCTAATAGATTTGGATAATTCACTGTCTGTTTCAACGGAGCTGTTTCTACGGAGATAAAATAAGGATGTTCCTACAATCCAATCCAAGATAACACTTCTCGCCAAAAGATGTTACATAGTGCAAAGGAATATATCACCCCTTGCCTACCTTCCACAACGATGTTGTAGGAAAATATCCTAGACTCCACATTATCATGTGGACATAATATCCAACACGAAACATAGATAAATGGATGTATGTATACCTCCTATTCTTATATACGGATCTATTGCATGGTGGACTTCATAAATACAAAGCTATACAAAGTTCAGAAATCATCATACATTGGAATAACAGGTGCTCTAAGAACTGTTGCTTTTGAAGCTCTGAACACTATATTTCACATATTTCCTATAGATGTACATAAATATAATGGTCATATCTGTTTGCTATGACCAAATTTTAAAGTGTTTTCAAAGTAAGAGTTACTTCTAGTAGCTAGTGCAGTAGGAGTTACCTACCGAGTGAATATACCACCAGAATCTTTACTGATGGCTCTAAAATGTACTGCGATGTTGGTTCTGGTATCTTGTGTGAAAACGCTGGGTGTTTTTCAGGCTGAAATATTTGCGACCATTTCCCTATTAGTCAGACAATTTAAGAAAGATCTGTCAAGTATGGATCTCCTGTCTGATATTACCCTTGTTTGTATCCCAGCGCATAGAGACTATTATGGAAATGAAGAAAATAGATGAATGAAAAAACCTAGGCCTTCATTCAATGAGAAACGCATAAGACACCTTATAACCCGAAATAGACAAGATATATGGAGGTTAGTTAGTTAGTTTGAAAGGAGGATGTATATACATCAAATCCGAAGAAATACACCTAGGCCTCTATCGGGCCTGTTGTGCGCTCCTAAACCAGTGCCTCAGGTGGGAATCGAACCCACCACCTCCGGTCTACCAGACTAGAACACTAACCACTAACCTACCGGAGGCCACTATATGGAGGTTAATAGCAGCAGTAATAACTAAGCAGACATGCAAATCGACTTGGGCTCCCCTTCAATGAATTCTGTTCATTACATTAAGGCCCGTTGTCTCAACTTCTGTTTATCGTTTAACCAATAGATATACTTCTTGTATGAAAACTGTAAGTTTATTGTATCGATAAAATACAACCAGATATCGAGAAAATGGGGCTATATATATATATATATATATATATATATATATATATATATATATATATATATATATATATATATATATATATATATATATATATATATATATATATATGTAAAAATTTAAAAAACGGTAAAATTTTTTTTGGAAAATTATCAAATTATCAATATTTGAACAATTACCAAAATTGATGATACACATTAAAATCTCCAAAAAGTACTTTTTTGTCATTTTAAACAGCTCACCAAATATTGACCAGAGTAGAAAAATTATATCTTAGAATGAAATACATATACATACATATGTATGTACCCTGTAAAAATTGAGACTACTCCGCAAACGCATGTAAAGAGTTCTCCTCAAAGTACAAGGACTGGTCCAAAACTAATCCAAATATATGTAAAAAACATACTCCATTTAACATTGTGATGTCATAGGTGAGGACATCAATGCATTACATCGGAGTAATCCCGAAACTAGTCCCTTGCTGAAATTATGGGAGTACATGATCCGCAACATGGTTCTATGTAATGCAGGATATGGACCATGTTGTTTTAAAAAATAATAAACATGATCCATGCCTGCATTACATAGGCCTGCTAAACGTTACTTGGACTCCAAAGAAAAAAAAACAAAAACACACCTAATTTTCTGCTCACATGTATATAAATTAATATGGTTGCATTGAGCAGCAAGCGAAATGGGCGGTGAAAGGCGGTTCGTGTGTAATACATTCAAAAATGTATCTAATTGTTTAGATTTGTAACTTTTATTTTAGGTTAGAAAATTAGTTTTAATAGAAATATAGTCGAATAAAATAAATGGGACATTGCTAACAAATTATATCTAGAATCTAGATAACTGTTACAAGTTTCCATTGTTTTTATCACTTACTGTTTAAACGAATAATTCGGCATACAATAACACATAAAGTCACTTATATGTACGTATGTACTGGCGGGTATGTACATACATATATAAATATGTATGTATGTGTATGTATGTATTTGTATATAATATGTGTAGTATTTTAATAATTCCGGCTCTTATACACCACGTATTATATGTTATATAATATTTTCTTTGTTTTAATTTTGTACATAAGTATTTTAAATTAAATTTAGAAATTAGTTTTTACTGGCTTTTTTACACTAAAAAAAATTATAATATTTGCTTGTATTATATAATAAACTGCTTAAGAACCTTTTACTAACATTAAATAAGGAAATGCCATTAAAACAATATAAATACTAATCGTAGAAAATAATGAAGGAAAATCGATTGTTTTCTTGATTGAAAGAGTAAATGGTTCATTTTACGAATTAATTATTTATATAGAAATATGTGGTTCTAATAAACTTCTAACACAATAATCACGGACACTAAACTATAAAATTCACAGTAAACACTTAGATACATATACATATATTCACACGCACACACTCTGACACACATTATACATTCAGACACTCTCCTATATGTTTGTATATAACACTAGTGAATGAAATGTATCTTTTATTTCTTACTCTTTATCGTTTTATATATATATATGTTTTTTCTTTTATGCTTTATTTAATTTTTTTCTTACTTCTTTATCATATTCGTTTTATTGTCCTCTTTTTTTTCTTTTCTTTGTTTATTAGTTGACAAAACTAGACTTTGGGTGGGTACAAATCAATTTTTTTTCCTTTCTTTCTTTGATTTGGTATTGATTTGTAACTTAATTGTGATTTAAGTTTTAATTTATTATCACCTGCAGAGTAAATTAAAATAGTACACACTCACACTTTTAATTTGTTTGGGACTTAATTGATGTTGTGTTAATTAAGCAAAAAACATGAGAATAAATTATTATAATCATACTTTTGGGTATTTTAATAGATTTTTTTATTTCCGTTTCCTTTTTTTCATTCCTTTAGTGGAACGAACGAAACACACTCTTGCAACGATTATAAATAAATGACCCTTCTTTATGTGAATTTAAGTATGTGGATATAGATACACTTTTTATATATTTTTACTACAGAAATACAGATATAATTTTCTTGGTTACTTGTTATTATTATTTTTTTTCTTAGTAATTTTTTCCCGTATTAACATGATGTGTAATTGAATGACCCACTTTATGTATACAAAAACATAGAAACATACATTCATGCATAGATATGTATGTATGTATTTATACTATGTAATTGTATATGTGTAAATTATTTCACATTAAATATGTATGTTTAGGTATTCCCATAAAAATTGTATGTATGTATGTATAATTTTGTTCCTTTAAAATTTTTATACACTTTGTTTTTTGGAACTTTTAGAATATTTTATTTGTTAAACTTTTCATTTTTTATCATTATATTTTATTAAATATGTGTATTACTACATATATCTTTGTGTATGTACTTAGGTATATAAATAAAAGTATATACTTTTTATTTCTTTTTTTTTAATAATTACTATGTGGAACTTTAAATTTCTTTGAAATCCACACTTGTCTGTGTATAGTTTGGCACTGATTGTTAGCTTATCAAACTTAACTCGAGCACTGACATCTCGAAATCAGGATATACAATAAGTTTGCTCAACGCGTTTCTCGTTTCCTTACAATGGTTATAGTATCCTTTTTTAATTTTACTCTATTACACACAGCCACATACAAACATATATAAAGAAGACAACACAGCATAAGTATGTACACGTTTCTGAGAAAGAAAGAGAGATACAGAGAGAGAGTGAATCAGAGACTTGTGTATACAAAAATCTAGGGATGAAAATGTTGTTATAATTGGTACTTTTTTGGTACAATTCAATCAAAAAGGAATACAATAATTCGAAATGTTGTTTATAGTGTCCGTAAGATGACAAACTATTTGGATACGGTTACGGTGTTCCGCTAAAATATCATTTGACCAAGGTTCGGGTTTCGTCAAAAGTTTGTCAAAATTCTCGATTTTACTGCCTTATTTATAACAATATATAAAAGGTTCATAGAACAAAATTTGTCTTATAAAGCTTTTATAAAACGTTATGAATAATGCCTTTAATGTTTAAATTCTTTTCGGGAATTATATATATCGAAAACAGAACAAAAATAAATATATCGAAAAACAAGAAAGAAATTATAGTCGGGCGAGGCCGACCATATAATACCCTACACCTGTTACAAAAATACAATGTGATTTAGTTTTCATAATGAAGCGTTGAAGTTGAATTGTACCTTGCATCATTTATTGTTGAATAAAATTGTGTACATTTAAGTCAAATTTTGAAGGGGGCTTTGTATAGGGGCTTCGATCAAATGAGACCCTATAATTGTAAAATTTATGAGTCATCAAGGCTAGTATAGAACTTGGTTTTGCAACTTTTTGTCGAGATACGAGTATATTAAACATAATTATCAACTTAAAAGCCCTATGCAGTATGCTATTCTATCGTAAATGTTATTAATTCAGACCTCGTTGCACCGAACGGTTTATATTTCTTCATTGTATAGCAAGTACGTACACTCAACCTTTTATTGCCGATTATCCCCGAGTGGCTGCCATGGCTACCCGAGTGGTACCCATATGATGCACAGTTAACCGGTAGTAGAGTATTCGATTATGGCATTCTCTCTTTCCAATACCATTTGCTGACATCATCCACATTGCCTTCCTCTGCTGCAGTCAGCTTTAATGTTGCGCGATCTGAGGTCGATGTCGAAAAGTGTTCGATATTTTCTGTTTCCAATATACTATCGAGCACGTCTTGCGTTTGTGTATAATTGTGCAATATGTCCAGTATACATTGATGAAGTGCCCTTTGGTCAAGTCGCCTAAAGATAAGATCATCTCGGCTGTGAATGCCACCTCGTATCACATATGTATGTATGTATATGTTTTAATTGGTGAGATATCAAGAGCTTTGGTTCTCATGGCAATACTTAGTCCTAAGCAACATATAGGCTGAACTTCCTTTAATGATACAATAACTTTTTGTCCAAAGTTTACACAGGCCAACAAAATTTAAAAAATTTCGAAATCATGTTTGAGAGATATCGTGTCAATTATTTTGAAATAAAAACACCGTTTTAGCTGACGATATGTACATACATATATACATACATAAATAATGGTTTTATGCAGAGAGATTTTTATGTACAAATGTGTATTTCTCTATAAGTGAAATGAATCTACCTCTTAATGGGTCCTTTGCGATGCGCACAAATTCTCCGATAAAAACAGCAATAATAACAAAATCTAGCACGTGATGGCATTTTATTTACCATTGTAGCCAAGATAAGTAATTAAGGCATTTGACAAAGTCATTCTGTTCTCTCTGTTCTCATTGTTTTGCTTTTATTATAAGAATATTATGATTTCCATTAATCTAAGTATGTAGATACATATGTATGTGTGTATGTATTACCGTTACTCCAATGTTATGTTCTAGGAGACAATCTATCTGGTATTTAAACACTTACTAAATTATTTATTATATCAATTAAAACACAATCTAAATTAAAAAAACACAATTTAATTTAAAAATACGTTAACGTTCGTTCTCGCTTACACATACATATATACAATAATTCAAATCATCGCATATAGCACATGAACAATGTACATATGTACGTGCATACATATGTATGTAAGTACATTTATATGTCAGTTTTTGCTGAAATAAAATGACAATAAATGTAACGGACAAACAAACGTACGAATTGAATTATAAAATGGCATTTTGCTGACAAATCAAGTGTCAAAAAGTTAATGATTATCAGTGTTGCCAGAAGTTAGGAAACAATAAAGTTAAACAAGTATAAGTGTTTTATTCGGCTATCCCAAATCGTATATACCCAAAATCGTATCGTATAAATATTAAAATATAAACATACTGGATTTTAATCCTGTCCCTGCTAGGCAAGAAAAATTACAAAAAAATGTACTTACAAAATCAAAGGATAATGAATGAAAATACAATAGTACAAAAATGTGTATGTTCGAATTTTGTTTAATATTTTTGGTTTTAATAGACCAACAAAATTAGCAAACTGGGGAAATTTAGATAGCGTTATGAAACAAAGAGGACAAAGGGGTCTTGTGGTCTGAATTAAAGAGATAAAAGTCACCATTAATCCCATGTACGCTAAGCGAGGTATTAGGGGTCAAAGGTTACAAAAATCAGTTTTTTACAATTATTTAGCTTATTGAGATTCCCACGACTTCAGATGATAGGTACTACATTTCTAATGACAATTAAATTTATTATATTTTAGTTGAAGGCTATTTTTGCATATTAGTTATTTTCACTAAAATTTAAATTTTCACTAATATATCAAATCTTAATATATGTAGATCGTATCGATAACAATTTTGTCATAATTTTTGCGTTATTTATAAGCTATTAATATGTGCTTATACTCTGTTATATGTTTTATTTTAGAATCACTCACATGAGGACTTTTGATGAAGAATTAGGATGTTTGGGGAGTGCTTGTGCTCTTTTTTTCTAATAAGTTAATGCAAATTAGTTAATGTTTTACCTAATGAATAATTGGCATTTGTTGGTTTGCTTGATTTGAAAGAAAACGTCTTGTTCCAGAAGAAATATGTATGTATGTGTGTTGTGATAATTGATAGACATATTTGGGGTATTCACACGGTGTGTTATCGAGTCTTATTGTCATAAAATTTAAATTGTATTTTTCTTTTGTCAGCTGACTCAAATTTTAAATAGCACACCAACTATAACTGTTTGTTGTCAAAAGTTCTTTTATTTGCTACTTATTTAAAAATATTTTAATTAATGAATGGACATTTACTATATACAAATAATCTGTAATGAAAGAAGGGAAATACCTACGATAGTATGGTTATTTAGGGTATTCTCATAATATGTAGTTTTAGTAATAAAATTTTGACATCCTAAATAAAAACGATGATGAGGCCAAAACTGTATTTGTGAGTTTGCATCAAAAAAAGATTGCTATTTTGGTGGCAATAAGCTTTCTTCTAAGCTTTAACTAAAGGAGTGTATGTTACTTGCAGGATTGTGACAGTGAGACAGGAACTGCTTTTATGGGTTTGAGTTGTGTGTGTCCCATCACAAAAGATTTAAACCAAAAGTAGTGTATGGTAATTGTAAGAAGACTTTGCGGGTTTGCATTGAGGGTGGTCCATCTGATATTTCAAAAAAGTGTATGGCAATTGCAGGATGACCATGAGGTCGGAATCGTATTTTCGGGTTTGAACTAAGGGTGGACCGTTCCCCAGTTTGCTAATCTTTAAACTATACTAATATGAGTGTTTCCTACTTGCAGGAATGTGAATATAAGGCTGGAACTGTTTTTGTGGGTTTGCGTTGAGGGATCCCCGTCCAAAGAAATGATTCCGAAAGATTGTACGGTATTTGAAATTAAATTACAATGTCGCCGGAACTCTCTTTACGGGTTTGCGTTGAGTTTGGCTGCTCAGTTATTGTGATTTTGATTATGAAAAACTGAAACTGAAAGTATTCTTGCTGGTTTAAAAGTTGGAATTAATATTTGGTGGCAGCAGGATCTGAAACTGTATTTGTGGGTTTGTGTTAAGTGTGGCCCGTCCCAAAAAAATTTACATATGGAAGTGTTTAGTAATAGCAGAAAAATTGTACCAGAGTAATGAGGTTGGAATTATTATAGCGTGATTTGTATAGGTTGGACCGTCTCAAGAAATCGACTGTAGCAATGAGGCTGGACATTTTTTGTGAGTTTGCATTGAGGGTTTCCCGTCCCAATAAAATTATACAAATAAGAAGTGGTATGAGGCAGGAATTGTATTTTGGGGTTTTCGTTGATGTGTATGGTAATTACAGGAGAACGATAATGAGGATGGAATTGTATTAGCGGGTTTTCATTGAAGGTTGTCTGTTCCAAGAGAAACGATTGTGATTTTGTTGGTAATGGAGCGGAAATATGAAAGATATACCAATTGGTTGAGGGTGGGCCGTTCAAGGAAAGTGATTGTTATTTTAGTGGCAGAAACTATTATTAGGTGCTGTTAAAGTTGTATCAGATTTACTATGTGGTGGCAGCAGGAAACCGGAAATGAGGATGCAACTACTTTTGCTAGTGTTAAAATTTAATAA